TCAAGATCATAGGAGAATGTAATCCTAAACTCCTCTAGGATAACGCACATCAATTCTCGTTATAAAATAGCAAAACCAACAGCTCACTAACATTATCCCAAGCAGTACTGCAGCTAGTGCTGGGTGTTAAGATTTTTCCCCCTTGCTTGCTTTTGGTGTGAGGGAGAAATTCTCATTTCATTTCAGTTCTCATACCTTCCGGTGCAGGAAAGCCATATTTAGCATTGTCACTGATTTTCCCGGGCACCTCCACATACCATCTCACTGGAGCCTAACTATACCCTGTGTGGTAGAGAGAACAGGTCTCTATTTTGCAGGCAAGGAAACTTTCTTGGGCAGGCACGGTGCAGTAGCTGCGACCAGAATTTGGGTTGACTGCAGGCCTTCCTCCCCCCCCCACCCCACTCTGGGCCGAATACCCCTGGCTCAGCTCTGTCCGCAGCTGAAGGAAAGAGCCTAAAGGTGGGGGTCAGCCTGGGCTTCCAGAACTATGCTTCGCTATCATCGGCAGCAACTCTGCAAAAGATTCACCTTATTCACACACACAGAGCAATTTGGTTCCCCTGGCACTTAATTCGGTAGCTACAAGCATTTCACCAATTTTCCCCAAATCAATCCTTTCATCTGAACCATTGAAACCCTCTCTTCCCCTCTCTCTACCTTCAGATACATAGAAGAAAGGATCCCCAGTGTGTTTCCAAGCGAGTCTGCTAGGTTCAGCTGTAACAACATTAGAGAATCTTTCTGTTCTGTCTTAGGACATGGCTAGTGATTAAACCTGCTAAGAATTGCACCAAGATAAGCTACCTGGGGCTGTTCTCCTTCCCCGAGTTAATGTCCTGCCTGTTTTATTTAGACGGTGAGTCTGCTTAGGAGAGACTGTGTCGAATTCTATGTTTGAAATGTCCCTAGCACGCTGTTGGCACTTAAATGCAATTATTCAAAATGGAATCATTTAATTAGATAGGAAGAAAAACAGCAAGCCCTGCGACGATAACAAAGAGTAAAGCGAACATGCTGACCGACGGCAGCAAAGCAACAGCTAGACAGCAATGCACACGCCTGAGACAGCTGCGTTGCCATTCCTCCTTCGGGAGCACAGAGCAGGGTAAACACAGGGTGGCAGGCCTCGCTTCTGCTGGCTTCACAGGAAGCAGGGAGAAGGCCTGATACCGATAACTCGGTAGAGTGGCAAGAAGTTTATGCCTCATATGACTTCGGTCCTTGGAGAGACCCAAGGAGGAGGAGGAGGGGAGTGGAGAGAGGAGATGGGAGCAGGGAGCAACAGGCCCACACAAGTGCCTGAACTGGCAATTAGGAGTGAGTCTCCCATCTGGATGGGACAGGTCACTGTACATCACCACCAGCCTCCAATCACTGAGGAGGGGAAAAAGGATTTTTTTAAAAAAAGATTTGTTAAAAACCAAACCAAACCAAAACAAAACAAAAAACAACAACACACAGCAGAAGACTTGTTATGGAGCCTGTACAAGGCATCATGTGGGTGCCCAAGGAATAGACCTTGTATTTAAATGCTGGATGTGCCAATAGTAGTTCTCCTGAAATGAATTCCTATCTCAACAAGTATAAGTCTAATGTAAGACAATGCCATCGGCAGGTTACAAAATTAAACAAGTTTTATAATGAAGTTTGCTCATTGATTGTAAGGTACAAACAGTTAAATAACAATCTTTTAAATTGGTAAAAACAACGACCCACCCAAACCTTGATCAATTTAAACTCTCCCCTCCACGCCCCCCCTCAAAAAAAGCAGCTACGTAATTGAAAACTATTTGAGACAGAGGCAGCCAACTATAAGGTCCTCTCCAAGCCTTCCCTAGCAGGTCCTTGGGTTTGACTTTGAGGAGGTGGTGAGGTAGCAAAAGGTCCCTTTGGCCCCGTGTCCTCCCTGGACTCTGCTGCCTTGACGGACTTCCCGTTTTCAGCCAGACTCGAAGTTCACGGATAGCTAACTTCCTGCAGTGAAAGTTTCTCCTCCATGTGGGGTAGCAGCTGCTGTGGATTTGACAGTCACCATGGTGTGCTGTCACTTCTAAGTGAGGCAAATCAGGCTGTCCCATGGTCCATCCTTGAACTCTTCTTTTCACGTGCTCCAAACTATTTTATAAGGATGGTCAATAAGCTTCTATTGGAAAGAACAGAATTAAGTATTTGAATTCGTCACAGTACTGGGAAGCAGAAGGGCGCTGAATTCAAGGGAGCGGGCCGGGTACCTTACTACTCCTGGACCTTGGGATAAATTACTAACTCCTCCCCCCCCCCCCCCCCCAATTTCCTCATCAGGAAAATCGGAAGAAACAACAGAACTTACCTCAGAGGGTTGTTAGAAGGTTGAAGGAAAAGTGCACAGCATGACAAGTAGGAAAGAGTTCATGTTGGCCATTGCTATGACTGGTCTCATTTAAACTGTAATCCTCATTCTGACTGGCAGTTAGAGACACAGGGTTGTCTAGGTGGACGCCCAGGGGACCCGGGAGGGGAGGCTGTCTCCGGACATCTGCATTTTGTTGGAACTTTCTCGCCCTCTGAAGCGGTCAGCCTTAGTTGGCGTGCGTTGGCGTCCTTAATGCCCTCCTTCGAAAGTCCCTGTGTGACCCCGTCCTCAAAGAAGAGGCAAGCTGCTGCTCCAGCTACCCACGGCACCTGCTTTCACTCCAGCAGGAGTGGGGATTTTCTATTACAGAGTTGAGGCCAACAGATAGGCCACAGACCCGTGCTGCTCTGGGTTACCTCTCCGAGGAATGGCGGATAACAGAGAAAACTGTGGGGAGAGAAACCGAGGGGACTTTCCAAGGTTCCCACATCACGGAGAGCACTCGGGAGGTGGGCTTCTGGGCGATTTTGCAGTTTTTTGGCTCAGCCTCCAGCGCCTTTCCTAGTGCGACAGACCTAAGCTGAGCACAGGTGTGACTAAGGCTACTTCTGGCCCTTAAGGTTCCTGCCACCGTGGGGACTCAAAGCACTCAAGTTAACATAATCATACATCTTTAAAGAAATAGGGAGGAGAGGCTAAAAAAAAGAGACAAAAGTTGGATTATGGTTGGCTTTGGCAACAACTGTGAAACTTCCCACTTTGGGAAATTCCTTTTTGATCCATCCCAGGTGACAGCTAGAGCGCTTCCAGGAGGGGAAGCACCTGCTGGCCCAGGTGGCAGGTGCGACAGCAGTGGCTGGGGACCTGCTGGGAAGGGAAGCTAGGCCAGCTCACTGGCCCCAGGCGGCCTGAGTGGCCTGCGCCTTCTTTGAAAGTGACAACACTAAACATCACACTAACTGCCACTTTGTTATGCACAATCTCACGCAACTCAGTCGCCAACCGTCCAATCCAACCCGCTTGTTGATGGCATTGTGGGGACAATGCAGCTGCTTTTAAAGTCTCAGTAAAGGAATGATTTTTTGACGTAGAGAATGTTGTCAGCAAGCCAACGTAACAACTGACAGAGGCATTTTCCCTACTAGGCATAGAAAGCTACTCTTCTTAAATCTCAGGGCTTGAGATACTGGGGGGCAGGGCTGCAAATCAGTTGATTAAAAATTATTCACTGGATACGCACCATAGAGTCTGAAGTACCCTGGTGGCACTAAGTCATATCTTTGTGACCAAGTAATGATAGAGCAGTTTCTACCAGGGAAAGCCAGGAAAAGCCCCTTCCACACAATATTAGTGAAATGCTGTTCTGTTACTGTGACCATATACTTTTGACAAGTATTTACCTCATCACAGCAAAACGTTACACTATCAGGGGTTCGAACAGACGTAGAGGAAATCAGCCATAGACGGGGGTGGTAATCCTGGCGGAAGCGGAGGACGTCTGGGATTCCTGGTTCCTGATCCAGGTGATCACCTGCATCGTGCAGGTGAAGTTTGTAGAGAGACACTTTAATAATATACTACTTTTTGTTTCTCTGTATTTCGGAATACTCAGGATTTTACCAACAACTCGGGCCATTTTAGCAAATGTTTTTATGTTCTATATATTAATATATTCCTTCAACCTCTGAGTGAAGCTGTATTTTCTATGGTTGAATCCTGTTTTAATCTCCACCACACCTCCTTCACCACATGGATCGTTTTTCAATATTCTTGAATCTATGGGAATCAAGAAAAGTAAAAGGCTCTCTATAGTTTGTGTCTGTATCTCCACTCAATAACTGAGATACAAACAATCGATTCACCCGAAGTTTAGAAGTACTTTACTCAGTTTTCAAACCCTCACAATGCTTCACTCAGTCTCGCTGATGAAGTTCAAGCTTTTAAACAACACATATGTTAGGGCCAGTCTTCTTATAGTGGCTGAATGGCTAACTTATAACTGGGTTCTCGGTTCTGTTTTTTAATCATGACCCTGCAAGGGACCAGACTCTCTGAAGTGGGTGGGAATCGATTAGACTGGAGAAAATAGAGAAAACATAGAAAGAGACCTGTGAGAGTCTTGAATGGAAGCATTTCAGAAACAACTGAATGGGATCTCTACTCTTTATGGAAGGCTACCCTCAACATGTTTACACACCAGTAGCAACCCCTCCTCACATGTACCTATATTTCACCTACAGATGGGTGAAAAGTGATTACCTATGATCCTATAATACTTTACGTAATTACCTATAATTAAATTAGTGCAAGGTAAAAATAATTGACTTAAAATAATATAAAGTATTGATAACAATTACTAGGCTAAATAGCATTCTTTTTTTCATAAAAGGAAGTGTCATAGGCAACCAAGCGGCAAAAAGAGAATGGAGTGAGATGTGGTTAAGGGGATGTCCTTATAGCAATGAACGTCATTTGTATTATCCTTACTTCTTTGAATAAATTCTGATGACAGCCCTATTTCATTTCTTCATTCACTTTGGAGGCCAGATGGCATTAGAATCATTTACTTCACCTTGTTGTGCTTAATTACTACAATCAACACACTATTTTCCAAATTAATCATAACAAAGTAATTTCATTAGTAACACAGCAGGCTGTTGAATTATTAGCATCATAACAGTTTGCAAACAATTAAACTTTATTTGAACCTTAAAAATTTGCAGAGTGGAACATTATTGTAAGATCTAATGGCAATAGAGTACAAATTCAGTACAGTGCAAATAATCAAGCAAAATGCTATATAAAATATGACTTACAATCACCTTTGGAAAAAAAATAGCTCTCTAACTGTTCATAGAAAAACAAATAAAAGCTAAGCAAACATAATGAGAACACAGCAATTAGCACATTTTCTGACAAGCCATGTTGTTTAGATTCACATTAATTATATTATTATGATTTGAAGAGTGTGTGATATATTGTCAAGGGTGTAAGGAAAACTTTCTCCCTGGTAGTATACAGAAGATTTCACCAAATGAATACAAAGTTGTCATGAACCGAAAGCAATGATTACTTTTCCTGTCACTCCGATTTGAAATCTTGGTTTTCTTTCCGATCTCCCACCTGGATTCCAGTTAAAAAAGAACAAAGGCCAGAAGAGCTCAGGCAGAGGCCACACTAGATTTCTGTCTCGCCACGTTCAAAGGGAGGCTGTCTGGCTTGGAATCGCTGGTCATCCGTTGGCGAAGGACTCCCTCTCCTGGATTAACTGTAAAAGGAGGCAGCGAGGTTCTACATGCTCTGCATTCTGCGGGGCTTTGGGCCCAAGTGGGGGAGGGCTGCTCAGTGGCTGGGTGTGCAATGAAAAGCTGCTGCCACCTACTGGCCCAGGGCTACAATCTTCACTGAAGCCAGAAGCAGGAAACCTGTGTCCACGCCACCAGCAAGTCCACGTTTTGTGGAAACCCACCACTGCCTTTGCTTTTCAACCTCTCGGGCTTCGAAAACCAGCCCAGTAGCCTCATCTCCGCTTGTCTTCCTTTTCCCAAGATGATTTCACTCTGCCCCAATGCTCTCTATTAGGACCATATTAACAAGTGCACAAATTCATATCTGAAAGCTTGAGCTCAACAATGTCTAATTTATATAATAATATAGAGTTTACTCGCAATCCCTAAAATTAATATTCTTTAACATCTGAGATGACATGATTGTGGTGTTAAGGTGATAATGGTAGATATACACTCTGAAATAGTGCCTGTAAACAGTTTTATGTAAATAATGGAGGTTTTTAAATATCATCAGCTTACTTGCATGGTCAGAACCTTTATCTTCATAAAGCAAAGATCCGAAAAGTTCAACAAAGGTACGTGTTAATCAGTGATTCAATATGAGGAGATTATAGCTACTCCAAATAATCATTCGTTCAGCAGTACCTTGCGATATAAGAGCAGACCAGTACCTTGTAGGCACTTAAAATACCTTTGGTTTCAAATATACATGAACAGGTGTGACAGAATTCTGCAAGTCTTGCTCAGGTAGCGGGCGTGGGACTCCACTGTCAGGCTGCTGCTGGTGCGTGTGCTGCTGTGGTTCCCACACTGCTCCTTCCTCTGCCCTGAGCAATGCACAGCGGTGGGTTCCCTGCCCCAGCCACGATCAGGCAGGAGAAGAGGGCTGGGTCCGCTCCTCACCTCGGAGCACACAGAGATTCCTTATGCCCTCACGGTGGTGGAGAATGGGCGGTGGGCCGTATGAATTTTTTATTTTATTAAATTTAAACAAAGTGATGGTAGAAGATGCTGGCCAGCCCATCAATTGACCAGGGTATCTGCTATTGATACAGGACTTCACACGAACCACTGTTCCAGTCGGGCGCGTGTTGTAGAAGGTGGCAGCACACTACCATTTGCGATTCGATCCTGTTTCCTTTCTTGTGGTGAGATTTAACATAAAGTAAACTTGCCAACTGTAAAATTCTTTCGGGAAAACATGTTACTATTGTGTGGAAAATAAATACTGGCATAAATAATCTATAAAGCTTTAATAATGCTTTATTCTTTAAGGCTTTACTAAAGCATCTACCAAAAACTTCTACAGTATCTTCAGTTTAAATTTCTATGGAAATTATATGTTATAGTCTACAAAAATAACTGACGGCCAATATTGAGAGAAGTTGTAACTCATACCAGAAGTAGCAGTGACTACATGGAACGTATAAAATAGTGCTGAATTCTTCACACCAATCAAATGAGTAAGTAAAAACTATAATCATTTTTTTGCAAAATAGCAACAGGTCTAAGTGTACAGCTTGTATCTAATTTGCATTAATATCCTTCATTTAGTTTCACATCAGAGGGATGCTATGAATGCAGAAAGTAATGAAGACGCAGGATGCTCAACAAAACAAAGAAAGGTTATGAGCTGCTGCTCATGCCTCCCCGGGGGGTCTGATTCCACAGCCTTTGCGGAGTAGCAGGAGACCGACCCCTCCTCGGCTGTGGGCAGAGGGGAAAGTTCATCATCATTTTTTTCTTCGACCAAAACGTTGATCTTTCCTGTTTAGGAAAAAATTACATTTTTTTAGCCGAGGAAAAATGAATGTTTACTCAGCCTTCTTTCTGTCAACTGGGCTTCTTAAAATACCCATAAAAAGTGGTATTTTACTAAAGAGGGGGAGGTTGGGATTATCACAGGGGCTTTCTCTTAATAATCTATTTCCAAAGTAAATTCTACAAAATTATTTTAAAAATTGAACCAGACTCCTTTTTAAAAAGAAGAAGATGATTTGGAAGCATAATCTCCATGTTATCAGAAAACTACGAAGACTCAGAAAAAGGCAAAGACTCATAATGCAGAGACCAAGAGAACATATGAGCTATTACAGAATATTGGATTAAAATGTACTTACCCAGGACTCTCAGATATCATACATCTCCATTATGTAGGCTTTCGGCACCAAGCCAATGGCTCCCTTCATTTCTCCTACCCACCAGCCATATCTATTGTATTCCTAATTGAAAACAATATGCAATATTAACCTTTAGGCTGGTGGAAGTACAATGTCCTTTGTGTGCAACTTCTGAGAAATGTTATTTCTTTTTATAAAGTTACAAGAGCTTGAGCTGCAAATTGAAACATTTTCATCTTTTTTTGTTCCTGGACACTTTAAAAATGCGGCTAGGCAAAGATTTAAATTAAAGTATAAGACAAAGCCTGTTTATTACTGGGTGTAGAACACAGAAACAGTCACTTATAAGAACCTAACAAGTGAATCAACCTCCCTCCCTGTTATCCTCCCTCCCTCCCTCCTTTTCCTACCTCCTTCCCTCTTTCCCTCTCTCTTCTCTGCTAGGGGCTGCAGGGTCACAGCCTGGATCCGTTGGATACTACCTCTGCCTTCAAGAAGCTTACCATCTAGCAAGGATAAAATTTATTTTTCACAATAAACTACTTAATTCCTACTTAAACTCTTATGACCAAAACTGATTTAGAATATAGAGGTATGCCTCTTCTTAAGAAAACCTTGTATAAGCACATAGACATTTTAAACAGACAAATTAGAGAAAATAAGGAAACACTAATAACATTTCCCCCCCAATTCTTTATAAAACCATTCACAAAAGGGCTCCTTTAAGAAAGCTGCCCTAAGGCATCTGTTGTCTTTTATTGATCATAAACTACAATAGATAAAGGATGGGGAGAAGGAATTTAAAGATGGTGTTAGATTCTCCCTTACAGTAGAAGATTAATGGGAAATAAAAGTATCCCAAGTTATAAAGGCGAAATATTACCCCAGCTGTAAAAGACAGTGAGTGAGGGGCCACATCGCCTTTACCTTGTCCTGTGAGATAGGCCTGCACCTCCACTCCTCCCCTTTGCCTCCACGGCAGACACACCACTGCTTTAGGCACCGTGAGCACTCTGTAACCAGTCTCATAGGTCTGCCAGGTTGACTAGTGCACTTTTATATCAAACTTATTTATGCTTCGTGAGAAAAACAAAGTAAAATGAATTACAAGTTTCCAGAATAATATCTTTCCAAAGCAATACTCTACAAAAGCATTGGAGGACCCAAATTTAATTTTTCCTAAAGATAAATTTTTAAAATCAATCCCCAAAGTAATTCAATAGGCTATGATTTTCCAACATCTGAGTCGCAGATAAATGGGTCGCATGTGGGAGGGAATGTTAATCCAGGCACAGACTTAGCATCTGTACTGATTAGGATGCCACTGACCATCAGAAGGAAAGTCACAGTTCTTCAGCACAAATGCAGCAGCTTTAAGTGTGTACTGATACGGAGTCTACCGATAGATTATGGGGCTATGTCTACATGTGCTTTCTGAACTGTGACGTGCCAGGATGAGGTTTACTCAAAGAACAGCGTGGAAGGAGAGGGGACAAAGGCTTCTGATTCTAACGAGAGCACATCTGGCTCATGATTTTAAGTTTAAAAGTTCTCTGATAGTGTGAACTGAGTGGACAAAACTGCCTAAGAAACGGACAGAGTCTGATGCCCAGAACTCAACGGCGATGACTATAATGTATGTAGGCTATATTTATCAGAAGAAAATACCAACTTACTGAAAGCTAAGATTAGCAACCATTATACCCTAATAGGTACCTAATAAAACTGCCCTTTTCAATTTTTAAGGCAATGAGTACAATTAGAGCCCACTGCTTAACAAAACAAACGTATTTAACCTTTCAGAGGCCCAAGTCTTACCTTGTAAAATCTCAAAATAGATGGTTAATAGGGTAAACGTAAGTGTGAGAGCTCTGACCCAACACCGGTCTGTTTTTCCAGCTGATTATTGGAAGGAGTGAAGAAATTAAGGCCCGAAAGGACGGGCACAGAACACAGGCAGTGAGAGGCATATTATGACCCAAACCTGCTTTCAGAGAAGAGCCCACAACCTGGCTCTCAATGCTTAGGTTCCAATTACAAACCAGAAAGTTCATAATATTCTGCTGCGGTTATAACCTGTGCTCTCAGTTAAAGATACAGTATTGTTCCCCAGAAGCTGACTCACACCCAAATTTAAGAAACTGATTTCCAACAAGTCACTTCAACAAAGGACCGATGGCATTCTTCCCACGTGAGAGAATTCTGCCCGACAGTAACGGGCAGGATTCATTCAGTGGGAAACACAGTAGTAAACAGCAGGGAGGAGCTTAGCCAGCTGTAAACAGGTCTCTTAAAAGAAACATTCCAGGGGAAAAAAAAATAAAGTTCTAGACTGAAATCCTCTTAAATGCTTCACTTAATTAATTTAAAATGATTGAAAACCATATGAAATACACACCTCATAAAAGTACTCTAAAATATCACAGGTTTAAATCGGGAAAAGGTATACATAAAAAACCAGAGTGTTTATTACTTTGCATTTGTAAAGGATTCCATATAATACTCCTGTGTGGAATTAAGAGGTAAGATAAAATACAGTGAGGTAAAAATCTAGTAGGCAAATTTATGGGTTTACACCGTGGCCGCAAGAGCACATCGACAAGACTGCAAACACAGAAGCTGTTACTTTTATCATTACCATCCTCGGTATGAGCCTCCTGAGCAACATGAATCCCAATTAAACCATTTGCAGCCGATAAAAGGGGAGGAAGATGCTTCTTGGAGTACAGTATTCTCAACTTCAGCCTGAAGATTCACTATCATACGAGGCTGCCTTTGAAGAAGGAAATCGGCCTTTCTCGGCCTTCCCCCAAACAAATGTGATTCTGAATGACAGATTACTTACAGTGGAAAATAATACAATCCACACAATCTCGTCTTGCAGTCCACATACTGAGTATAGATAGGATTGTTCTAAAAGTCACAGGTGGGTCATTAAAAACCACGGCAACTCTCAAGCCTGATCTTGTTCATAAACAAAAAATAAAAAGACAGAACCATAGCAGGCTGCCATCTGAATCTCTGAAAAGTTAGGAAGCGTCATGTCATCTATGGCTCACGAGAGCTCAGGTACAAGAAGATCTGCCATCTGGTATCCCTCACCCTCCTCGGCTCTTAACGTCAACTGAAATGCTAGCATAGGCCAGTGACTGCACTTCAGCAGGACTGATAAAATAATGAAGAGTCCTTTAATCTACAGGAAACCATTCTAGTCAATTTATAAGAAATATTGCATCCCTTTGTAGGACGTGTAATTATTTTCTATTAATCATGTGCTATAAAGCTACATTATGCGGTTATTCTGTTATCACTGGGAAGGGGCCTGCAGTCAGCTTCTGACAATGTTAGGTAATTACTGACACAAAGCTGCTTTCTCTTCCTGTAGTAATGCCTTCGCAATCCAGAGGTGTAGGGATGCTGATTGTCTGAAAACAGCGCTCAAATGGAATTCAATATCTGCCACATGGATGGCTTCGAGGCGAAATGTGATGTGGCAGTCAAAGCAAAAAAGCCCAACGCCCAGTCATCCGCGGGAATCATCGTAAAGCCGCCCCAAACAGTTGTGATCTAACTCCTGTTTTCAATTTTTCACACCATTACAATCGCTTTCATTACTTTTATTGTGTAGTTAAAATTTTAGGCCTAGATTAATAGGTATTCAGCAATAGATTAAAGTGATTGAGTAATAAGGTAGGAAAAAGGCACTAGTTTTGATAGAGTGAAACGGGGCCCTGAGCCCGCACCATAGTAGACGTATGTCCGTGTTCACTCACTGACTGAATCCCGGTCTGTGCCAGGTGTTACTTTACACTTACAGGAGGCCCAACACTTACTACTTAAACCCTTTGCAGCGCCATGAGTCTCATTTTTCAAGTATGCTAACCCACTTTCGGCTAACCATATGGTAAAGGAATGGTGCCTAACAGAAACCTGAAACACCAATAAGATGCCGTGATGTGCTACTCCTTTCAGAAATTAGTTACCAATCTGTTTAAAAGCGACAGGTGTTCAAAAGGCCATTTCTTCAAACATGTATCTCTCTTCCAACTATTCCCTGTGATATTTTCCATTTCTCAAATTATTCATACACATGGTAATAGTATGAACATTAGATAACGATTTTAAACACGGAGAACCTTTCTTCAGGTCACCTCTTTCAAGAACTTCCACCATCTCCCCACACGCTGGCTGCTGGCAGGGTGGGGGAAGCCACGCGAGGAGGCCGTAGGCAGTGCACCGAGGAGCTAGTGGAAGGTCTTGAGCAGCAGAGTAAGCTGACAAAGGTAGTTCCCGAGATGAGCAGAGAGGCAGAACTGTGGCTGCAACAATCCAGGTGAGGTGAGGTGAGGAGTCCTGAGCAAGGGTGGTGATGGCTGGCATGGAAGGGGTGGGTGAGCCTGGGAGCAGTTATCAGAGCCGTGTGTTGGTTGGTGAAATACACTGAGTACCAAGGCCACCTTCTACTGAGCCTGATTTGATCTTCCTTTGCCTGACAGTACCTATGAATCATCATCAAGTGAAGTCTCCTTTCTTCACCACTTACCATATCAATAGACGCCTGCCGAAAAGGGATCTGATAAAATCCAGCACCTATTTATGGTAAAAACTCTGGGCAAAGTGGGAATAGAGGGACTATACATCGGCATA